CTATGTATCATCTTAATGCTGTTTGTGTTTCTCTGGCTTCTACATCAAAAGGTAAACTCCCTCTGAAAGCATCATTTTGCTGACTCACTACATACTAAATGTTTATATCTCTATTCACCTCCATCTCTTGTCCCCACTTGTGTAAAGCCTGCTTCCCTGGAGATGTAAACACAATAGAAAGATTGAGTCTGCAGGTCTCACACACACATGTGGATGTGAGGATGCTTTTTACGTTTAGTCTTGAGATGGGGTGTATTAATTCCTGGAGCTGTCGTAACCAAATATCATGGGTTGGGTGGCTTAAACAACACAGATTTATTTTCTCACAGTTCTGGAGGCTAGACGTCCAAGATCAAAGTGTTGGTATCCACAGTTTTGATTTCCTTCTGAGTCCTGTCTCCTTGGTTTGCAGACGGCCACATTCTTGCTGTGTCCTCACACGGTGTTTTTCCTCGGTGTGTGCAGATTCCGGTGTACCTTTCAGTGTTCAGATTTTCTGTTCTTATAAGAACACCAGGCAATTGGAATAGGGCTCACCTTTATAGCTTCCTTTTAATTTATTCACCTGTGTAAAGGCCAGATCTCCAAATATGGTTACATTCTGAGGCACTGGGTGTTCAGACTTCAGCATAGGAAATTTGGGTCGACACAGTTCAGACCATAACAGAGGCCAGCTCTCCCCCAGTCCCATCATAGCCTCTCTTTAGGCATCAGGGTTCCCAGTGCTGGCTGCCCCCAGAATCACATAGGGCGCTGTCGGACAACAGCCAGGCCCAGGCCCCACTCTAGACCAACTAGAGCAGGCATCCATATTTTTTCTTTAAAGTTCCCCAAATGGTTTTAGTAGAAAGCCAGGACTGAGGACTACTGAGCTAGGATCTAGAGTAGTCCTTCCCAAACTTGCCTGACCATAAAAGCCACTGGAGGAACGTATTAAACATATATAAGGTGAGTTCATAATATCGCATCAAAATCTTCAGGGGACATTCCCCATTCTCCTCTTCTGACCCTTATTTTAATTAGTTCAAAATGATAAAAGTAACATGCTTTCCAACCATCCCTTGAAAGCTGGCAGTTTTACATTAAATATATATATATATAAAGGATAGCCTCTTTTGAATTTCTGCAGGATCTGATCCTTCAAGCGGTCTCAGCGAATGGCCCAGTTCATTTCTTAGGAGGCTATGAGATGCTTTTGTGTAAAGTTCAATTATAAAAGGAGTGGCTAAAATAGCACAGACTAGCCCTAATCGGTTTGGCTCAGTGGATGGAGCGTCGGCCTATGGACTGAAGGGTCCCGGGTTCGATTCCAGTCAGGGGCATGTACCTTTGTTGCAGGGCACATCCCCAGTAGGGGGTGTGCAGGAGGCAGCTGATCAATGTTTCTAACTCTCTATCCTCTCCCTTCGTCTCTGTAAAAATTCAATAAAAAAAAAAATTATAAATATAAAAAAATAAAATAGCACAGACTGGCATATTTTTTTTATAACCTTTGAATTGAGGACAGGTGGTAAGAATTCAGCTCACTCATAGGAACTGTCTCTAGTATGGTAGCACCTCACAGAATCCCCCCTCACTTGTCCAAGTCAAAACCTTTTCATAGCATTTCCATGTCTGATCAACCGCCAGACAGACCATTGAGAGGGAGCAGAGGGCCCTCTGCTGTGCTCACGGCTGCAGCTGATACCAGTGCCTTACACCTGTGTGCTGTTACTCTTGACTCGGTGCCTTTTCCACTTTCATCGCCAGGGCTCTTGTTATAAAGCAGATTCTAATTTGGGAGGCCGGGAGGGAGGGGTCTGAGGACCACACCCTGAGCAGTACGCTAGAGCATCCCCACATTTTTTTTTCTTATTTTATCTGCACTCTTAGGGGCATTTTTCAAAAACACTCCCACTTCTATCATTTGAACCTCATAACATTATGGCTGTAAGACAGTTAGTGCAAATATCATGACCTCCATTTGACAGATGATGAAAACTTGGGCATGCACAGGTAAGTGATTTGCCTAAGGTCTCCTAGGTAGCTAGTGGCAGAATCGAGGACTTCAGATTTTCTCTAGCTCAGTCGTTCTCAGATTTGTGCATGTATCAGAACTGCCTGAAGGGTTTGTTAAAACAAATCCTGAGCCCCACCCAGAGTTTTAGTTCTGGGATGGGCTCTGAGAATTTGCATTTGTAACAAGTTTCCCCATAGCTGATGTTGAATAAATGTCTCAAAGGACAGCATCCACCGTGCCTAGCTTCTTCTTAATACTTGGCGTTTGGCACATAGATTTTGAGCATAAAGTTTAATAATAGAGCACACAAAGTCATCGATCTTCAGCATTTTTGATAAATCAAATAACCTCACCGAACCTTAACTGTCACTCCATGCTCAAGGTTTGAGTGGATGTTTGGATGTTCACTGACTCACACCCTTCCTGTCCTCAAGGCTGTGGTTTACTGTTCTGTTCAAGCACTGTTTCCATTTTAGATAGTGGTAGGTGTAATTTTATTTAGAAATTTGCATCTAATAAAAATAGAATATTTATGTCTTGGTGAAATTCTTGTCAAAACAGGATTGTAGACACCAGTCTCCAAATAAGAAAATGAGTACTGTTTAATCAAGTAAGTAGTGGATTTTTTAAGCCTTTTGAGGTAGCCCTTCGATGTTATGTCTCCAGAATCCTGAGAGCAGAGGTGCAGTCCGATGAACAGATGTGATTTTTATCTGTATTGATGTTCTTAGAAAGAAAGCTATCGATTGGGATTTTGGATGGCCCCTCGATACTGCTGAATCTGAATCATTTATCTAAACTCCCGAATTTTCATCTTACTGTATGTGTACCTCTAGCTTCCTCAAGGAAGTTTCCACTGATATCCTCTAATTCATTCCTTCAACATTTATTGAACATATACAGGCATTGCTACAGGTATGGACCAGCCATGATAAGCAGGGCTTTAGGATGTGGGCTCTGGAATTATATCACCTGTGCTTGAATCCTTATCCTATTACTGTTGTGTGACTGTAGACAAGCTACTTAATTTCCCTGTGCTTTGGTGTCCTTTAGCATATTATGGTAACTACCTCATGGTGTTGTTGCAAAGTAAATACATGGAAAACATTTCAAATAGTGTCTTGCACATGGTAGAGTCAGTAAATGTTATTAACAAGCCTTTTACATGCACTTTTGTTTAATCACAACCACCCTCTGAGGTGGTACTACTACTGCCCTTATTTTACAGATGAATTAGTAACTAGTCCAAGGTCATACAGCTGGCAAGGTGCTGATCAGGAAATCAGATTTACCTTTCTCTGATCCGAAATCCTGTTTTTAACCCAATACCAAGCCTTTCAAGTAAGTACTTAATAGTAGTAAGATAGATAGATAGATAGATAGATAGATGATAGATTTCAGAGAGGGAGAGGATAGAAACATCAATAATGAGAATCATTGATCGGCTGCCTCCTGCACACCCCCTACTGGGGATCAAGCCCGAAACCCGGGCATGTGCCCTGACCAGGTATCAAACCTTGAGCTCCTGGTTCATAGGTCAACGCTCAACCAGAGCCACACTGGGCGGGCAACAGTAATACTTATTAACATCTTTCTTCATCCAAATTCTCCATTCTTCAAGGCCCAAGCCACTTTAGCATAGGCTCTAAATCCTTAATTGGGTATGGCACAGTCAAGAGCAAAATGGATTTGGGACAAAAGTCAAGACAGTAAACTGGCTTTCAAAAGGTCTTCACACAAGAGGGATGTTAACTTTCCTGCCCCTAAAGGCATTCCTTCCCTGTGGGTGTGCATCTCTGAATATAAGTCACAGGAGGAATTCGGGCCACAGAAATTTTGGGTGGTTCTCATCACTTGTCATAATGTGACACAGAAATACATGCAGTTTAGGTATCTGCTCCATTTATTGAATAAATCTTTATCTTATAATTTTAAAATTCAAGGAAAATTTTATAAATGGAAAATTATCCCAAACCCCATCTACATGTTCCTGCCAACACCAACTATAGCAAAAATCCATTTGCTTCTCACTGCCACCTGGCTGCGTGGACCGGTGGCCTGCTGCACGTGTGAGGCTGGTGACCCACTGGACTCAGGAGGGAAGTCATGACTAAGTTGTGAGGCCTGCGATCAAGGCTACAGATGGGGCTGTTAGGTGGGGGGAAGAGGGGCCTAGAGGAGAAAGAAAGCTTTGCAATCTTTTAAAGTCTCAACTTTATTTTAAATATTGCTATTTAAGTTCACAATAAGACCCTCCAGTAGCTCAGGTGGGAAGGAATTAGGAATCAAGGGCTGTATAAAGGCAGGCAGGGGGTTAAAAGCAAGAGCTCTGAGTCAGACCAACCTAGATTTGAATCCCAATTGCACCAAGAAATTTGAGACCTTAAGTAACTAACTTTGCAGTGCCTGTTTCCTCAAAAAGCCAGTACCTCTAAGATTTTTGAGATTTAATTAAGATAATGTGTTAAAAACCGATAAAGTTCCTGGCAAATAGTAAAAAAAAAAATTTTTTTTAATTATCATAAGATCAGGCTCTGCTACATCACCAGTGGCGTCATTTTTGAATAAGACCCTTCCCTTCCACAGGTTTTAGTTTTCTCACGTAAAATGAGGATAAGCCTAGATGTCCTTGAATAGTCTCCGATCATCTGTTGTAGAGTAGCCTGAAAAGGTGCAACTCTGCCCCCTAGTGGTCTATAGTTCTTATTTCAAGATACCACAAACAATCCCTCAGGCTGGTATCAAGACTCCCCTGACATTTGCGTCACACTGAAGCTGTTGCCCCTGGTCACTGGATTGCTGATGGCAGCTTCCCTAAATTCCTTATGTCCTAGGATTTGATGCTTGATAAGCAGTTTTCCCTTCGTGCTCCTTTTAATGATTTTATTATTAGTATGGGGTTTCTTCAATACACCACAAGGGCAGGGGATGGGGTGGGGGAGAGGAAGAATTTACTAGTTTAAGATTTAAAATTATAACAGATAGTCTTTATTTGGGTCCTAATTCAAACTAGCAATTTGTAAAAAAACAAAAAAACAAAAAAAAAACATTTGTGCTATTTCTGAGACAAATGAAAATGTATACACTGACTGCATATTTGATCTTATAGACTTATTATCAACGATTTTAGATGATGCTTTGCTTTGGTCCAAGCTAAAAATGCAATTACCAACTATTGCTTCTGCGGGCCACCCGATTCCCCATGGCTTGGGCTAGCACAAAGGGTTTCTCAGTATCCCTGCATGAGGCCAGCAATCTCTGTACCCATGGCTTCCTCCCTGGGGGAAAAGTCTAGTAGTGAGGTGGGGAGTCTTCCAACATGCTGTCGGTGATATAGCTGGAACCAAGATAGGATTCATAGTAACTTTTTTCATCAAAAGTATTAACAGTCCAACCAACCACCTGAACGCCTTTAGCGGACCACTTCTTTAAGTAGTTCCTGGAGAAAGAGGAAAAAACAAATCTGTTAGAACAATGACCAGCTGGCCCAGGAATCTATGCTGGTCACTAAGTCTGGTACTCACTGAGTACTCACAGTGCTCAGAGAGCCTCTTAACTGGCCTCTGCACTGAAATCAGAGGGAATGTTCCAAAAGCCAGTGGAAATCTCCTCCACACTGTCACAGCTTAAAACTTTTCAGGGGCTTACTAAAAATCCCACCCCTCCCCAATAAGTCATAACAGAGGCCGTTCCTAGCTTAGTCCCACCTGTCTCTTTGGCCTCATCTTAAACCATACTCCCCCTTTCTTTCCTGTGCTGCAGTATATTGACTTTCTTTTAATTCCTTGAAACAACCGGATTCTTTGCTGCCACGACATTTTTTTTTTGCATGTGTTTCTCCCTCTGATTTGATCTCCACACCGCTCCCCTCAGTTCCTACTCACCCTTTAGCTGTTTTCCCCAACTCCCCTGACTAGGTAAAATTATATATGCACACTGTTCTCACCTACAAAGCATTTATCTTAGCTGTAATTTGTTGAATTTTTATTTGATTAGCATCTATCTCCTTTTCCACTTAACTATAAACTCCATGAGGACAGAACATGGCTTTGTTTCTTTACCACAGTATCTTCAGATTCTTAATACCTTGCAATACTGTAGACCAAGCATGTCAAACTCGCGGCTGGCCACGAGAGTTTGACATGCTTGCTGTAGACATACACCAAATATTTATTGAATTAAATGCATACAAACCTGAAATAATATGAAACTTAAATTATAATCAGCTGAAATACACAGCTACAAAACTGCTAAAAAACAGATTGCCAGCACGTTAGGGAACAAGAAGTTTTGGAAACAATGGAGCAGAGCCTGCGATGTAGAGGGCAGTGGGAGGAAAGACTGAAGAGATGAGTTAGGCACCCACAGGACATCTTCACTGTGGTTCTGTCTGACCTGG